TTCCTGGAGCCCGACCGACAGCCCGACCGACTATAAGTATACAAATCTCCTCTCAATAAACCTTTAACCACCAAGAGAGGTTGAACAGCCCTTTGTCGCCCATCCCATATGTACCACAGACCAGGGTCCTAGTTCTGGTCTCTCAACCTCTAACCAGGCATGCAAGCAAACATTGACGACAGTTCACACGTGAATTTGCCTCAAGACAAAACCACACACCAGGAAAACCCATGCTACGAGTAGAAGTACGTCAGCCTTGACACGATCTTCCTCGCTGAAAGATCATGCCTTCAGGTCCACTTCTTTGGGAAAACGCCAAAAGCATTCGGCTTTCACGGTGCCCTGCTGGAACTGCACCTTGGTGGATCTGTTTCGTCTTTACTGCACACATGGGAGGGTGTCTGATCAACTTCTGCTGGAAGCGGCCTGGTGACTGGTGCCCAAACGAAGGAATGACTCGTTTCAAGGAATCTTATTCATATCATATATTTTATTATGTTATATGTTGTAATATAGTATAATGTAACATAATAGAATATAATATGCATTACACTATATATATATATATATGTGTGTGTGGTGTTGCATGATGCTACCCATACTCGACGAAGTGCTGGTTGATCCTCCAAGCATGCTGCAGGTGTCTTTTGTCCTCTCCTGATTTTCAGCCACTACTTTCTGTCTGAGAGGGCGGAAATGAATCTGAGCATCCGGGCACCTTCTTCCTCCAGCAGTTTCACCTGCAGGTGATGTCCATACCCTGCAGGTCCTTAACAGAGTGACTGCTACCAATACTGACAACCAAAACTTCCCATCAAGCACCTACACTACACTATACTCACTACCAATTGGATTAATTATATAGTCGGACCTGGTTGCAACCCGCTCCCCGCCGACCACCAACAACTGCTGCTCTTCGTCCCAACTCCTTTTCGTCCCCAACGACCGGCCCTCTTCCACCGCGCGCGCAAAGATGCGCGCCGCACGCTCTTCGCGCCGTGGTTACCGCGACCGCCTTGGTTTTCATCCGCTCGTCCTCCAGGGCCGTGGCGCCGAAGTAGCCGCCCAGTGAGCGATCCGCTGGCGCAAAAAGCGTGGAGCGGAACGCCGGCGCCCGGTTCAGCCGCTTCGAACGGGGGACGAACGAGCGATCCGCTTGGTTCTCGGGGGACTGCGGGGTACGGAGTTGGGGATCTACAGAGCGTCGTCGTGGTGTTCTTTGTTTCTGAAAAAGAAGGGTTCTCCCATCTGATTCAGGTGAAACTGATCGTTCGTTGTCCATCGTTCTCCTCTTCTCTTCGCTGCCAAAACGCTAAAAGAGATGTTCGTGTTCGGCCCAGGCCAGCGGACGGCGCCTCGCACCACACGATGACAGGGCACCGTGGGCGCATAGGGATTGCGCTTCAACGCCTCACCCGGCTCTGGCGAGGCCAAGAGAAACGCCCACGGTCACCGGGAGGGATGTTTCCGGCACCGGCGATGGCGATGGGCGGACTCAGTTTGGAGAATTCCAAGCAGAGGTTGAAGAACCCGAACTAGACGATCCTAGTTCGGTACCCCTGGTTACGGGTCCTATTTACGGTCACTGGATACCTCTGTTGGTTTGTCATCATTCCGAAGATCTGCAAGTTCGTCTCATGATGTCTCATGAAGATGGTGCAGTTACTGCGAACTCTACTCGGTGCATCTCGCAGGCTGCGGCTATGAGGGTGTCGCATGCTTTGGGAGCTTTCTTGCCACACCATCCTCTGAAAAGTCTGTTCCTGCTGTCCAAACTGCGAACTCTGGAGCTGACAGCATGGACTAATTCTTGGGGATCAGTCCACATCAAATGATGAAGAACAAATAAGTCCCTTAATTCCATTCAGAGTGACGTACAGTGCGATGACACATGTGCCGTGACCCTGTTTGTTAAGAGTGAATCCAAAAGATCAACCTCTAGCTGCAAGCGTACAATGAGCCCTTTCTGCTATGTCAAGGAAGCCTGACATGATGCTGTGTTGCTTGACTCAGATTGCATTCAACTGCCGAACAACAAGGGAGGTCAGCCTCAAGTGGACTCTACCTGTGTATATTGCGATGCCAAGCTACATCCAGCTACAAAAAAGCTGCGAAATGCCAAGTCACCACAAAATACCACAAACAATCATCAAAATCACAGCCTCAGTCGTAACGTCTTCTGTCACACTTCTGTCACACTTGCGCCCGTCTCACGACCCGTCTGCGGCCCGGAGCCGCCGCGGATGGCGGGACCCGCCTGTCCCACGAGGCGCGGGGTCCATGGCCGACCGAGCACCGTGGAGATCTCCCCGTAGCTCGTCACGTACCTCGCCCCGGAGACCGACCCGCGACCCGCCCGAGACCGAGACCGAGACCTCGGAGACCGAAAGAAGAGAAAGAAGAGAGATGAGAGAGATGAGCGATGGAGCGGGTGGATGGGTGGTCTGTTTGAGGTTGAAGGAATGCAATGAAGGGATGGTGAAGTCTCATTGGGTTGGCTTTTGGCCTTTGGCCACTTGCAGTTTGTTTAGGCTTGTCAGGTATCATGATCATTTAATGTACCTTAACACACAACATTGACCTCTACCTAGAGAGGTGCAGGAACAGAGCAGAAGACCAAAAGGCGCTGAGTTGGGTGAAGGTCAAAATATGTAAAAGAAAGGTGATACTGATACTGGAATGCAGTGCACTCACAACTGAACCAAGAAAGAGTTAATCCATTTACCCCTTTCAATCTAGACCAAAGCTGTACAGTTGAAAATCCTCGCCCTCAACCCTGCCGCGCCCGCTGCACATGTTTCTGTCCGCACGGCACTTGCCACGCAGGACGTGTCTTTCTACAACCTCGGCAGGTCTTTTCAGCCTCAGCAAAGGGTGGCAGAAGAAGCTTAAGTTTGCCAATCCGCAAAGAGATAGGATGCCCTGGCAAGGTCCGCTCACATGTAAAAATCCAGAAGGTCAGAAGAAAAAACACCCAAACTGCAGCTTGCCCTGTGATGCAAGGAAGCCAAACAGTGAATTGTGGTTCGTTTCGTTTCTAGATGATCCTTTGCACTGGAGTCATGTCGACTCTCCAGGGGTTCTGCGCCTACAAATAACAGACAATTTGTATGGTGCGTTTCTAGAAACTGAGGCCAATTGCACGGAGATATGCACAGTTCCTAAGACTTTGCGTTGACACCTCGCCAAAACCAAATGATTTACTCTTAGCGACCAACAGCACAATGGACATCTGAACCTCCGAGCTGTAAGAGATTGGTCTTCTGTGTCCATCTGCCATATATTTCAAGAAGGTGTTCCTTATTCTGGGCCCAGCCACGGAGCACACTCTGGTAGGGTATTTTTACCTATTATACAATACAGATGTTCCAACTATGCAAAATGTTTGCCTTTTGGCTGGTCTTAGAGATCAAAAGGCAAAAATTTGGTACAGTTGGAAGATCTGGGCATATGATCCCTTTCTCGGCCCAGACACTGCCAGGTTCACCGCACGACAAGAGACACCTCAGCCGCTTCGGCGTGGTCTTTGCTGTGGCTTTGGGAGCGGAGCAGTCGATGTACCGAAGGGGGCAGAGCCAATTTGGACCGGAATCTCTCTGCTTGGAGTTGTTTCAAATACAAAAACAAAAGGAATGATAAGGAATGTATATTTTCCAGAACAGGGTTCTTTAAAAGGGAAAATAGCAAATCACTCTAAGCAAAACCGTGTTATACGTGGCATCCAAGCTCCAAACTAGTGGTAGCTGGATCCACTGGGCCTCCGGAGGCCACTGTGCAAACCTGAAAGATAAGTCACTCTTTGCCTAGTCCACGTGGGGCTCTCCGAGCTCCGAACCAGCAAAAGGAAAGAAAACTTGCACAGGGTTTGGAAGAAGTCTGAGCCTGTTTTTTCTTTCCTTTCGTGCCTAATTACGCGTGGTTTCACGTGGACCATGGAGATGTGCTTGGCCTTTGCGCCCAACCAAACCCCGAACTCCGCCGAGTCGCACAACCAGTCTCCCGGCTTGGTCGCGGTCAGCGGCGAAGCTAACCTGACCATCCGACAAAGCCAGCTGCGTGTCAAGCCAGCTGCGTGTTTGGGTCCGTATCCGGAACCCTGAGAGGCAGGATTTGAGAGTTGGCAGTGGAAAACCCTGTTGAAACCCGTTGAGAGTCGGATGTAAAGAATCCGATGAGAGTCGGATGGGATCCAAAACTCACCCCGGCCCAATCTGTGTCTCTTCATATTGAAACAAGTTCTTAACAGCTCCTGGAGGCCCCTGCGTCCTTTTGGGCCCCCCCGCATTCGTATGGGCAGGCCCACACGAACTGCAGATTTCGTGTTGTGACATTCCCAAAAAGAAAGTGTACTCGGATCGATTTTTCCTGCTTTCAAGGATTTCACTCTTTGTGATAGTATAATATCCACGGGTAAACCTGGTAAACTCTATTCCACAGCCTGGGGTTCACCAATCCTTTGGATCGGTTCTTGCTTTGCGGCGGGATGAACTTCTTGATCCACGACCACAGCCGATCCAGCTGCTGGGTGCCAAAGATCATCTTCTTCAACAAACGAACAAACGTCACTGCCCCCCCCTCCACCCCCCCACATGTGAGTGAACGTAAACATGTTGGTGAACAGCCATGAAAACACAATCAACATAAAACATTAAACGCCTCCCAGGGGCCCGAATGGCCGTGACACCAAAAACACCATAAAACATCCCTGGAACCAATCTAGTGCGGCCCAGAACTGCCCAGCAGATGTTGAAGAGCCCACCGTATTGACCCATTTCTCAAGCTGAGTCAGTCTCTTTGATCTCGAAAGATCCAAATTGAATCTCGGACAAGGTGACAAGGGGTGGTTCATGGACCCTTAAACATCCTTCAACACCCTAAAGCTCTGTCTATGGGGCTGTAAATCGACTTTAGGGGGAAGCCCTGAGATGAAGATGAATCTCTCCAGCACCCTGCCCACACCCCACCCAATCAGTTTCAGATGTGGTTTGCAGGCCCAGGTTTCACTCCCTCAGCCAGTGCCATCGGGGCCTCTGGAAAGGTGGCCTCCTAGGCTCCTTTACGAAGCAGTGCACCATCGCCGAGCGTGCGCGGCTGTTCCTGCGCAGCTCTTCCATGGTTGGTCGCAGCGGCGGCTGTAGGCGTCGGGCGCAGTATGGTTGCACCTGGAAAGATGGAAAAGACCTGTCTGACCCGGTCTGAGTGCGAAGTGATATGAGGTGATGATGGCAGCTTCTGCCACGGTGTCTAAATCTTTTCGAGTTGGAACTATTGGCAAACTTTGGAAGATGACGATTTGCTCCAAGCCTTTAGGGAGAAATGCAAATTTGAAGACAACATCTATTCCAAAGCCTGTATAAGTTGATGGCAGATTGATGCAGAGTGAAGAGTCTTGAGAATGCAAGAGATCACAGTCTTCACAGTCTAAAGCTTCAAGTCAAGACCCTTCCGACCCTTCCCATCACCCCCATTTTGGACGTCCCACCGTGGAGAGCAACGGAAAGAGTTCGCCCAGACGATCAGGACTCACCATGGAGGCTAAGGGCGAGGCCCAGCCTCAGGTCTCGGTGGTCGGTCTCGGAAGAGGAGTCCAATCGAAACTCACACCCTGAAGAGGTCAATGACCTCAATGACCTCAACACCTGGTCATACAAAAGCACTTCTTTAGGAGGTCAAAGACCAGGTGTTACTGGGTCTTGGGACTTGTAGGGACAGGAGTTATGAGAGCTGAAGGACTCCCAGCGGGTATCAATGTTCCGACCCCTGGACGATCCAGAAGCCAAACCCATGGCTGGTGTGCTAAGCCTCATGTCCACCATCAGCGACAATTCTTTGGCACGTCCAAAAAGCAGCTAAACCTCCGGATAGGTGAACACACAGAACCTGAAAACCACCTCTTATGTAGATCAAGTGCTCTTGCAGTGGTCCATGTTCAGGTTCTATGTTTAACTCACCCGGTGTGGATTCCGTGTTTAACGGTTTAGGGTTTTGGATTGATCCGGTGCCTCAATCCATGATCTTCACCACAGGGAGATGAATCGATTGGAGTCATAGAAAATCCTCAGAGCACCGAGAAATCCGGAACATCTTCAGTCCAACTAAGGTTTAAGATGGCTTAAGGGGTGTTAGGAACATCTTCCATAAGTCCAACTTAAGGGATGTTTTTTGTTGGGCTTGTTCGGGTCTCCCGACCTATTCTTCCCGGAATCCACTCCATCTGCCAGCGTGCCGTCCTCATTGTGCCGCAACCAGTTCTCTAGGACTTGCTCCTTGGTGAAGGCGTCGACTGCCGGACGTTCACTGGTTCCCGGTGTACCGTCGGTGTTGAAAGACCACCGTCTCTGTGCGTGAAGATGTGTTTCCTATGGAGTTGAGGATCTGGAAACACCATGTTGACAGACTCAGGATCAAAACAGCATGACTCAGGATGACCGACAAGCTGTTCGAAACAGCATGTTGAGAAGCAGGTCGACAAGCTAGAAGTTCCATATCAGGATGCTTTAGCACGACCCATCTGCATACCCCTTCAAGAGCGGCACGGTAACCGACGGTAGCTGGTGGTTGATCGCCAAGTCTGAGCTCAGCATAACCTCTCCAAACTCGGACAAACACCACCATTCCTTTCAGGTCCTCCTTGGGCTTGAAGGTGATGACCACCGATCGGCCGCCATACTTGAGGCGTTGAAACTGGGCTTCCATGGCATCCGCCAACTGCTGCATCTCCTTGACCGACCGGATCCTTCGGATCCCGACCGGTCGGACCAATGGTCGGATCCGAAAGGGACATAAAGGGGACCACCCCAAACTCCAGCGAGAGCCAGGTGGAGCCAGGTAGAGCATGAAACAACTCGGGCTCCGCGGCATGAGAAGTCCAAGGACACATCGATGCTACGCATGGCAGTTGGGTGGAACATCTGACTGCATCTGTGCGGACTGTTTTTTTTGGCACTGTGTGCGGCCCCTCGCAAACTTCCTGTGATCGGTCCAGGACCTGGGAGGAACTGGGTATCGATTGAAGTTTCATTCACAGGTTCTGCAACAGGATCTGGAACCCTCTGCTGAAGGATGAAATCCAAACGAGATGGAGCAAAAGAGCACTAACACGGTTGTTTTCCACTTGCTATGGAGCTGTTGCTTCATGTCTTTCAAGGAGGTCGCCATCGGGCCGCCATCTGCGACACCCTGTGAAAACGCAACGGTCCCTCTCCCAGTGACGCCTGGTTGATGAAGTTCCGAATGCCCTGAAATGCGAGCTTTGCCGGGTGTTGCCGTCGATCATCCAAGCCTTGCTTCACCTCCTCGGAAGCTTGGCAGCTAACTTTGGGCAGAAGAAGGTGTCGCGTTGTTTTTCACCAGCAGAGTTTGGGCCTGGTGGTGCAGTCTAAACATCAGACTCATCAGACTCATCAGACCATGGATCTTCGGTGCCATTGGTGATTGGAAGGTGGGTCAAATGCTGAACCGCTGGAGCACGATTCCTTTCTGGACTGTGTGTTCACGAACACCGGCATGGTTTTCACCGGTGTTCGGCGTGGTGGGTTCTGAGGAGCTGGGGTGATGGCTGAGCAGCAATGCATCCGCCTCCAAATCCGTGTTCTGTTGCGCAGAGTATGAGGGATTATGAGGGTGAGGGGTCTAAACATGTCTCAACTGTAGTTGTTCTCCATGCGGTTTTCGCATCCGTAAGATCTGGTTTTTGCACGAAGCCCGTTGCTTTTGGCATTGCGTCCCATGCAAAATGGACGATGCCATTGTCTGGGCAGATTCTCCCTTTTCGGCAACCACCAAAATAGATCTCCTCTTAAAGCACCCTTCAAGACCCGTTCCTCTATTTACTTGGGGACCACTGCAAAAAATTATCACGATCAACCACACTTGAAAAACGATGCCTTTGTGTTGTGCGGGACCACCAGTCCTGGATGCAGGTGGCCAACTCCAGCGTTGAGGTATAGGGACCTGAAGAAGTGTCCAAACATTCCAGGCGTGAACTTTGAAGCGATAGACTCCACGACCACTCTACGATCGATTCTCTGACTTCACCACTACTTGGGAGACGGAACTCCAAACGGATCACTCGGTTGAAGAGGGGCGGAGCTGAAGAAATGGCTGGCGGTGGGGAACCAACTTCGGAGCCCTCCGCCCCTCTCCGGTCGCCCGGTCGGCCCGAACTGGCCGGGCCGGTCGCCCGGGTGCCCCGACCGAGCCGGCGCTGGCGTTCCAAGGCCGCTTCCGCGATGCGATGACAGAGGATGGGGTCGTCGTCCTGGCACCACGGTTTGAAGGTGTTGTTCTTTTTGGGGTCCGGTCCGGACAAAAACAAGAAAGACCTCGGTGCGCCTGGACCAAAAAGGGAGGAGGTCCGGGTCACAGAAGAAGGAGGCCCGAAGCTGGTCAGCTTCAAGATAAAAGGTTAAAGGTTAACCGAACTTTCCGTGCTGTTTAGCTTTAGAGAGGAACCAATTCCAAAGAAGGTCAAAGCTTATCCACTGACTGGATAGGAATATGATAGAGCCCTCTGAATCTGAGAAGATTGAGATGATTGAGGAACCACATACAGCAATAATAGTGATATTGCTAGGTTTGGAGGTAGATAAAATGTTTGGTGTCCCCTGGATTGTGCCTTTCTGTACTCACAACAACGGCGGAAAGGTGCTGTACCCTGATGGTGCTTTCAAGCAACACTTCGCCGGTGCCGTGTCGCCAGGCTTCAAGTTCTGCTTCGAGTGTTTCCTCCCATCCCAGAAAGGTATATAAGTTCATGTCCAGGTTCGAAAGGGCTGCTGGGTGGAGGAGGGATCTCAAGGATCAAGGAGGGATCTGCATGTCGATGGTCACTCAAGTTCTTCCCCCCGAACAGGAATTTGGAACACATCTGAGTGGGGGCAGGAATTTGGAAGGAATCCCTGCTGCACCACAAGTCTAAGTCTTCCAGGATCATCCCACCATCTGGGTGTCCGTCGTCTGGAGGTCGTAGTGCAGGGGTTTAGTATCACAAAGCAAACCCCATTGGATGATCCAGGTAGTCTTGGATAGGGTGTGTCTGAGCAGAGCAAGTAGTGCCGGACCAATGCCAAGAACCTCCTGTGGCGCTGGTGTTCCTGGTACAATTAGGGCACGCATCACACATCCAAAACAAGTCTTGGCGGGAGCACTCTGTAAGTTTCCAAGAGATTCACCTTTCATAGTGGAACGCAAACCTCATACGAGACCCCCGAAAGTGGTTTGTTATGTGTCCTCCATGGTCTTCACTGTCGGTTCTGGATGCTTTGCAATATATAATACGTTGCTTGGACATTCACATCTTGTCGTGTCAAAAACCTATCAAAGACGTTACTTCGGCCGGGCAATGGCCTGGGCCAACCAGCCCCCTTCAATCCAACTTCAACTCCATTTCGACATAAGGACTCTCCACCGCAAAAGCCAGCAAGATGTACACTGACCCTGTTCAAATTGGTTTGGACATCAGCTTTATGCAATTAGACATATTCCAGCGGATACATTTCGATGCAAAAATGCCATGGTCTTCTCCGTTCCGGTCCAAAAGGTCCGTCAAACAGCTTCTCTTCCGCTGTTCTTCTCCGCCCAAAAAGGATCCCATCCCGGAGGCGGCCAAGGCCGCCTCACCGTTCTCGTAAATCACCGAGGCCAACTCTGCAGGGGTGGTCGTCTGCAGCCATTTCCACGCAGGGATCCCAGCCTAAAAACTGCGCGGACGCTCAACAGACGCCCGGAGAGCGGAGAGCTCGGGGATGGCTGGTGAGAAGGCCATGCCACCAAAAGCAAGAAGCTCCACAGCGGACTCTGACCTGAACCATCCTTTTTGGGATGTCCGACAATCATGGAGGTGGCTTGTAGTGCAGTATGGAGTCTTCGAGGCCATGTTCACCCCTGTTCCATGATTCTTGGAGAGGGTATCCAGTACAATACCTGACATGAACGTTGAGGTGAAGGCCTGGATGGCGGTTTCAGCCCTTTACAAAAAGAATGGTCAAAGGGGGTAGTCAGCCCCAAAAACGATTGAAAGGTAAAAAGAAAATGAAATCACCTACCAACGATCTTTTGACGTGTCCCTCTGTCCAAAGCAGCCTTGAAGTTCATCCGCAGGTCCAACGGCCCGTCCTAGCGACAATGATCGTCTGACGCTGAGATGGGTGACATGACACTTTTTCTCCATTCAAAAAAGCAGGTGAGAGTTGGTCCTGGTTGTGTCAGGTGAAAGTGAGTGTCCAAAAGACTCATCTGAGGATTTCCCCACCTTGGAATCGGAGTTCCGTCCTGTCCTGTCCTGTCTGTAGGGAAAACATGTTCTTTCCAAGAAGGAAAACTGCCATCCACGGAACCATGACTGTCTGGGCCTCCTTTGCACAGTCCATGACTCGTCGCGACGCTCCGTTCGCGGTTCGCGTCGCGCCGCGCCGTTCGCTGAGGTGTTCAGCGATGTGATGGGCTTAGTGGAGACGAGACGCAGATCGAAGCAGGTAGACTCTGTCAAACTGTGACTCCTCTTTTCTTCTTGTGCTCTGGAAGTCCAAGACGAATCTTAAAAAATGGTCATTTGGATGACCCGAGTTGAGGAATTATCCTTTACTTGAAGCTGTTGCGAAGAAGAATCTTTGGACGTCTATAGGGTATGAGAATCCCAGAAGTTTCCTCCTGCAACCGAGTGCCATTCCGGCATGTGACCGAGCTTGTGACTCGTGGCCATTCCGACCGTTTTCCTGCGTCGTTTCGGTGGTCCTGACAACAACTCCAACCCCGCTCACCATCATCCACCTGTTTTTCGGGCAGGCTCAGCATGGCTCAGCCACTCTACGGGGTGTGTCCTCAACAAGGATGGGTCATGAAGAAGAGGCAGTAGATGGCAGTGGCATGTCCAAATCAGAGATAGAGTTGTAGAACATGTCATATGTCATACAAGGAACAAGGTACAGGTATACATTTGGGGATTGGTGCAGATTCGTGCTCTACTCTCTGCTTTGGGCGAATTGATTTCAAGGTGTTTCAAGTCAATTGAGTATATTGCCCAGAGCGAATATGTCGCTACTGACTGTACTCGAGAAGGTCCTCAAGCTGACTGCTGATTGGATTGAACGACAAAAAATCAAAATCATAGGAGAGACCCAAAAGCAAGCAGAGCAGAGCAAGGCCCCTGGAAAACCATCTTTCTCTACAACCTATCAACCACCAGTGATGCATATCAACGTTTGGTCCTTTTGTGCAAGTTTCTCTATGGTTCATCCCCTCAACAACTCCAACGAACATCAACGAACACCGGAAACACTGTTTCCATACGCATCACAGCATCCGTGTCCACATCACATGTGCCCCATGTCCACCTCGTGTCTGAGTGAACAGTCGCGCGTCTAAAGCCGCACGCTGGCACCTGTGGACTTGAAAAACCAATGTCCAAAAGCATCCCAGACAACTCCACGTCTGCAGGTAGGCTGGCGTTCACGTCGGCGAAGGGCCGATGGATCATCGTAAAGCGCTCATCCATCGCTTCCTGCGCAGCTCTTTTTTGCCAAAGGCAGAGATGCTTAGTGAGGATGGGGGAGGAGATGCGGGGTTCTCATGGTTTCTCGCCAAAGGTCGCGGCTAAAGGTCGAGATGATGCAGGAAGGAGAAGTGGCATTGGATGCGCTAGTTCTTGGCGGCAGAAATTCGTCCACCTTGGTTTCATCGAGGGAAACTCGCCAAACTGATTCTGAATCAGCACACCTCAACCCCCTATTGTCCACATCTGTCATTCCCTCCTTGTGCAGAAGCCTGGGACGTGCTATTTTCAAAGTGATTCAATGGGTTTATTTGTTGGAAACATGTTGAAATTCCACCCCCCACTGGCCCGGCTTGAACACGTTTATTGACAAACATTGGATGATCTATACTGTGAAAATACTCCTATGCCCTCTGACATCCTCTGACCCTTCTATGGCTGCTTCAGCCCTGCAAAAAGGCGGCCAAAACAACTCACAAGGCCCGGCAACAAAACACCGTACAATTCGATTTCCTCCACCCTTTCCGTCATCACCCCACAACATTCTCGCAGTATTTCTCTTCAACACAGCTAAAAACCAACCCTTTCTCCTTGCCAACTCCATCTCCCATCTCCATCAAACCTCCCAACTCTGCTTCTCCCTCTCCACCCATCTCCACCCGTCTCCACCCATCTCCACCCGTCTCCACCCGTCTCCACCCGTCTCCAGCTTCTGTCCCACGGCCACCGCATTGGGGTCCAAGTCGAAGGCCCAGAGCCGTCCAGCGCCACTGAGCCGCCGCAGGATCTCCGTGGCGTGGCCACCACGACCAAAGGTGCCATCCGCGTAGTACCTTGAGGCACCGGAAACGCCTAGACGGATGGCACGATGATACATGATGAGACAGGTAGGTGAAGAGAGGGTGTTGACCAAACGAAGGATGGAACAACTGTTTTCATCTGCTTTAGACATGAAAAAAATTAAAAAAACACACACATCCGCGACCAACCCACAAAAAAAAATTTGTGCCTGGCCATGTCTATATAGTCCGTCCCACTCTCCAACCAAAACCAAAACCAGGCTGCCCATCGCTCCCGTCGGCTCCACTTAGCAGGCAATCAATGGACTCGTCCCGCAGCACGGGGATGTGCCCCGTCGTCAGCTCGCCCGACGCTCCGCGGCGAACGGCGCCGAGCTCCGCGGCCGTGGCTCGGCGCCGCCGAACCAGCGGCGGCCCCCAGATCGGGACCTGAGACCGGTGTTCACGCGAAGGGGTCGGGGAAGGCCAGGAAATGCCGGTGTGAACTCGGGGAATCTGTTTGTTTTGTCGCTTGGATGAAAGGGGTATGCAAAACAAAAAAAGGACCGGATAACCCCATACGTTAAGCTTGTAAGAACTATCAACGAGCAGTAAAGACTGATAAGAAAACAGGACGGAAAGATACTGGACGATAAGAGTGGATGAGATGAGTGGTGTGTGACGAGTGGTGTGTGAAGAGTGGTGTGGGATGAGTGGTGTGTGATGAGTGGTGTGTGATGAGTGGTGTGTGATGAGTGGTGTGTGATGAGT